ATCCTCAGCTAGGAGTCATTCCAACTCAGCCGTCATTGCCGAATAATGAAGATGATCAGCTCGCATGACTCTTCCGACTAACAGTGTCGGCCATCACGTCAGCTCTATCTCTGATAGCTAATCGTGCCGGCAGTCCTACACGAGCTCAATTTCTACTCTGCTAAGATTTTAACATTTCTGGATCTCATCACGAAGCCTCCTTGGTTGATTCGTCCCGATCGCGTCTCGAATATAGGTCATCAACGATAAAAATAAAATAAAACACGACTAATTGATCCAGATATGAACGAAGTACCCAGACTGAAACGGCATCGCAAAAATCGAATGAAACGATATAAGACAAGTGGTAAAACGAAAGTACCCGTCTTAATCAATACATGAGGTTGCAAATCTTGAAGTGGAAACTCCAACGAATCAAAAACAAAGTTTTCAAAGGATTGCAAAAAGTCAAAGAAATACAAAGGATCACTCTCGATACTCCGAAGGGAAAAAGAACGAGAGTTTTTAAGAATTACGACGAACACAATTAAAAAACGATGACGACTCTGCACCTCACGATGTGCTTTCATTAGGCTCGACTACCATCCTTAAAAGATTCTCCTATGACAAACATCCATAGAAAAGTGTCGAGGCTCCTCCCGATCAGGTATGCGACGATCCTCACGTACGCCACTTCGGTTCAAAGTTAACATAGATCACGAAAGAAAATTGACCGTCGTCTATCTCGAAGCTAAGGTATTCTCAAGTTGACCTTCGCATCGACTTAGCGAAGTTACTACACACGATTCGATATCAGATGACGATCAATAGAAACTGAAATTCGATGCTCAACTCCATCCCAAAATTCTACGCAAGGAAAAGAAAATCAAGCGAATTTGTCACAGAATGAAAATCAAATAATAAGAATGGGTCATGAAATGCAATTCAACTTGACTACTAAGCGAAAGGTAGTAGTCAAAGGCAAGGGAAAAGCACTCGGGCGGCAAGGGCGTGAACGGGTAGGTTAAAGGGTTGGAAACAGCTTAAGCTCACACATTAACATTTGCTGCAAATTTCCAGAAATCTGGAAATTTACCAGGGAGAGACAAAAACTAAAGTTGAAAACTAACTAAAGTTGAAAAAGTTACCCGGGAGAGACAAAGGATAGTGTAATATCCCACATCGGTTGTTAAGGAGAACGAAACATGCCTTATAAGAGGGTGTGGATACCTTAACTTGTAGGACGCGTTTTGGTGAGCTTGCTCCCAAAGGCAAAACCGTGCGGGTGAGCGGGCCCAAAGCGGACAATATTCTACAGCGGGTGGACTGGGCTGTTACAGATGGTATCGGAGACAATACCCGGACTGGTGTGCCAGCGAGGACGCTGGGTCCCCAAGGGGGGTAGATTGTAATATCCCACATCGATTGTTAAGGAGAACGAAACATGCCTTATAAGAGGGTGTGGTAACGCAAAACACTCCGACCGGCTTGAAATCGGTTCGCCTTCCCCTTCTTCGCCGGTAGAACGCCGCGCACCTGCACGGAATTCTCACACTGGAGGGGTTTTCCGGTGAAGAGCCTCCGATGCTTAAGTCAGTATGTGTTTGCTCGATTTTCCAAATTAAAGAATGGATAAATCGTAAGTCACAAGAAAAGGCCCACTTTCATATATATAAGAGTGAGATACCTGCCCTAGGAGCTGCCCGACTTTTGGTGAGCTGTCCTACCCGTACTGCCCGTCCGTACACACATAATGTGCGTGTGTTAGGAATCCAAGTCGCCTGCCTCCAGCGCCAAGGCTTTAAAGGAGCAGTATGCCGCGAAGGTTAAGGAGCTCGAGGAGAGAGACGACGACCTCGCGGCACCGAATGCTTTGGTTGCCATGCTTAAAATCGAGAAGGCTACAACTCTGGAGAAGGTCGACAGGTTGCGGGCCGATCTTGAGAAGGCTGCTGACGATATCCTGGCCGAGAGGGAGGCGGGGGTCCTCGAGAGACGCAGGACATTTCTTAAGTCCCCGACTGGTTCTGTGTTCCTCGAGCATTACCGTCAGAAGACTGTCAAGTTCTTCTGCAACTCCTCTGCCTTTCTCGAAAAGCTTTACCCCGCGACGATTCAATACTTCAACCATACTTTCAGAGCGTGGGAGAAAGCCGTAGCTGGGACGGAATGCGCCGACAAGCTAGACCGTGAGGAAGTCAAGAAAATGCTCCCCTTCCCCGACCGCTACAAGGGTGACGTAGCTCTCCCTCCTGATCACACATGGTGGGTTGGTCTCAAGGCGAGGGCCATACGTATAACTGGTTTGGATGGTCGACTTGAGGTTTCTCCCGCTCCTTTGGCTGGTCTGATCGATTAATCAGGCCAAATGGAACGGATGACGAGGAACTCTTTGATGTCGAGAAAAATGAAAAGCCGGTCGGCGCAGAGGAGGCTGAAGACGGGGAAGAGACGGAGGCTGTCCATGTCGGGGAGAGTGAAAGGCCGGCCGAGGAGAGCGAGGGTGGCGATGCTGAGAAGACCGAGACGATCTTTGCTGAAGATGGTGGTGAGGAGGAGAAGTTGACTGCCGATTCCTTAAAATCTTATTCTTTTTGAAAATGTTTATTTGTTTTGGGATGTTTTTGTCTCTCTCGACCTACTTTTCAAGATTGTAAAGGTCGAGGCGACTCAGAATGTAATGGACTTTTGACTATCATATAACACTCTTTCTTTTTTCATCACTTGTCATTGTGTCTTGTACTTTTTGTTTTCTTATTGCTCTCGATGGCGTTCGTCGTTATCTTTATTTGATATCATTTGGTAACAACTTCATAGTTGTTTAAATCGATTTTGTAGTCGATTCCGTGAACGGTTGATTCTAGTTGTTTGCCCCTCTCTTCTCTCAACCCGGCTTACGAGCTGGTCGATGTGGAGCAAGAATATTAGCGGCTCGGAGCTAATAGTTTGAAGTTTTTCAACTCGTCTTCTCCTGACCCGGCTTGCGAGCTGGTCGAAGTCGAGCAAGAATATTAGCAGCTTCGTAGCTGATAATCGTAATTTTTTCAACTCGACATAATCGTAATTTTTTCAACTCGTCCTCTCCCAACCCTGCTTGCGAGCTGGTAGAAGTCGAGCAAGAATATTATCACCTTCGTAGCTAATCATCGTATGATTTTCAACTCGTCCTCTCCCTACCCTACTTGCAAGCTGGTCAAAGTCGAGCAAGAATATTATCTGCTTTGTAGCTGATTATCGTAAATTTTTCAACTCGTCCTCGCCCAACCTTGCTTGCGAGTTGGTCGAAGTCGAGCAAGAATATTAGCAGCTTCGTAGCTGATAATCGTAAGTTTTTCAACTCGTCTTCTCCCAACCCTACTTGCGAGCTGGTCGAAGTCGAGCAAGAATATTATCAGCTTCGTAGCTGATAATCGTAAGTTTTTCAACTGCCCTCTCCCATCCCTGCTTGCGAGCTGGTCGAAGTCGAGCAAGAATATTATCAACTCCGTAGTTGATAATCGTAAGTTTTTCAACTCGTCCTCTCCCAACCCTGATTGTGAGCTGGTCGAAGTCGAGCAACAATATTAGCAGCTTTGTAGCCAATAATTGTAAGTTTTTCAACAGTAAAAGCTCTTTTTGCAGATTCTACCAAGTCCATTTTGATCTGGCAATCGTGTTTTAGTCAAAGTATTTATGTTTGCAGTTTACTTATTTATGCAATCATAACTCCATTATTTTACATTGTAGATAGTATGGCTCGTCGTGTCGAACAGAAAGATCGTACTATCGGTTCCTTGTAAAATATAAACTAATTGTTCGCAGTCTAGACAGGCAGTGAGACCCCTGTTGGAAAAAGACTGTCGTGTAGTCTTGATTCAGTTGATCTTTGACTGAAGGATTGCACTAGTAATTATGTTAAGTATTGAACAGGACCACGGAAGGATAAGATTCTAATATTTACTGATCACAGTTATAATCTAGACCTTCAGTAATTGATGCGTACTCTTAAGCTGTAATATAATATAAAACGAGCATATATATTCATTACTTGTTTATTTGATTTACCAAGGGTGATTTATATTTTGTTAGGATGACATACTCGGTATTCTGGTACATGAGGGTGTTTATATGATGTGTTTTTATATATTATTTACGGTCACTATGTCCCGGTTCGCCTGGTTGATGATGTACCCGAAATGAGCTCAGTAAGGAATATTATGTCAAGCCCTGCAGGCGGATGAGTATCCGGCATAATGATTAAGAATGTGAGTGGTACTAGTTTCAGAAATGGATAAGAAGTTGATTAATTATTTTGTCAGTAATTTAATTAATCAGCGGACATTATATCTCAAATATAGGGAGATAAATCGATCAATTAGATTAATATTAACTAATCATTTGGAGGTTCGAATTTATTTAATAAATTGGAGCTAAATGGGGAGACCAATAATATTACTCGAGTGGAAATGTTTTATTAATTATTCTATTTAGATTAAGGAATTAATTTTATTCCATAATTTATATTCCATTAGGAGACGAATATTCCTTCTAGAATATTACCTAGGGTTAGGAGACTAAAGAGTCTTCTAGAAGGTAATTAAGGTTAGGTGGAATTCTATCCTTGGTTGGAAAAGTGTATGGAATGGAATTAGGTTTCCTTAGCCTAATAGGATAAGCCCATATTTAGCCCCTCCTTAAGGTCTCTAATGTAGGCTATAAATACACCATGTCCGAACCTCTTCCTCGACGCTTGTGACTCGATTTTAAGGTCTTCCCAAAGAGAGGAAAATTGAGAAAACATAAATATTGAGTTCGGGAGTTTTGATTAAACGCCCACCAAGATTATTCGAAGTAGGTGTAAAGGTTATACATTAGAAGGCTTTTAGGTGAAATAAATTTGAGCCTTTTAATTTATATAATTTTTCGGCGACCCCACAATCACCAGAATCGCCGGAATTTTCCTGGAATCCTCCCAGCATGATGTCCGCGACAGGTAATCGCGCATAAGCCCAGGTCCAGTAGTTCGCGCATTGGTCCATCACCAACAAAGGTCCAGACGTGAAGCCCAGACAAAAGGAAGGTGACCCGTTGTTTCTCGCGAGAAGCCCAAGTGATGCAGGCCAGTCAACAGGCGACGCCAAGCCCAGAAGCATCCGCTCGGCCCAACTTCACACGAGAAGCCCACAAGCGAGGAGGAATAGCGCGTGGGCTGTGCAGCCAGCGCCTCAGCCCGCGAGGCCCGATTGCTCTCTTAGCCCGCGAGTGGCCCGTGTCCAGCCGCGTTCCCCTCACAGCTCATCCCGTGAGAAGCCCGAGTGTGGCCCGTTGCAGCCCGCGTGAATTGTACAGCTGCCTTGTGGCCCATAAGCGCGTCTCCGCAGCCCATCAGCCTTCATGCGCGCGGCCCAACAAGCAATAACGGCCCAGAAGCTGTCCAGTGAGCCCAACGAGTTTCCAGATCGGTCCAGTGTGTCCAGCTCGAGCCCAGGGAGTTACAGACTGGCCCAGACAGTTCAACAGCATTTCAAACCGGTCCAGATCGGCTCAGAATCCCCAGTTCGTGCCCAAGGCGGTTCACGAGCGGTTCGAGCAGTCCGATTAATTTACCAAAGTTCTGAGATGATCCAGCGAGCCCAAAGAGCAAGCAAAGCATTTTGATAAGGCCAAGTCCGGCTGCCCAACAGACTATGTGGTTCGGACGATCTCCTACATAGAAAATCAGAAACGTCTCAGAGACGACAAAAAATTTTTAAACCGTAAGTCCTAATCCTAACTGTAGATTCCGCAGCGTTAGGATTTATTTTTCAATAGATTTGAATGTGCACATTGCCGACGTCCCTAATAGAACCCAACAGAGAACACGGTGGCACCCCTCACTTGGTCGAACAAATCCTTGATTCGGAGCAGTGGGTATTTATTCTTCACGGTCAGGTTGTTCAGCTCTCTGTAGTCAATTCATATTCGCATCGACCCATCCTTCTTCTTCACGAACAGCACGGACGCTCCCCAGGGAGAAACACTCAGCCAAATGAAGCCAAGGTTCGAAAGCTTCTAGATCTATGACTTGAGCTCTTGCATATCCTTTGGTGCCATTCTGTGTGGTGCCTTCGAGACCAGACTGGCTCCGGGGATCAAGTCGATGGTGAACTCAACTTGTCTGTCCGGCGGTCGCTCCGGCAACTGCTCTGGGAATACGTCCATGTACTCACAAAAGATGGACACACTCTCCGAGAAAACTTCACCATTTCCTCACTAACCATATTCAACAGTTAACCTTGACAGCTACCCTTCTATAATCTGCGCATCGCTTTCAAGGAAGAGATAACTCTGGGCACCGTCCTCGTCTTCGCTCCGTGGAAGGTAATCGGCTGGCCGTTGTTGGGATGCAATGTCACCTCTTGCTCTAGGCATCTGATGTTTGGCGCGGTATCGGATGAGCTAATCTATGCCAAATATCACGTCAAAGTCCCGCATCTCGATAACGTAGGTGTCGACCTCCAAGCTTCTCCCGCCGATGCTGACTCGCAAACCCCGCACCATCGTATCAGTAATCACCGTCTTTCCCGAGGCTAGGCTATCATCGAGAGCGTCGACCTTACTGACGTTCCTAATTCCTAACGCCTCCAGACAACGCCGATGAAACGAAGGAATGTGTGGCCCCGCTATCACATAAGGAAAATATAGACACGTTGGATATGGAAAGCATGCCAGACATGGTACATGTGTTAGCTGCGGCCTCATCATGGGTAAGATCATAGACTCGGTCCTGGCCTCCGAGCCGCTGTTGGTTCGGCTGCTGCTGTTGATGCGGTCCCAGGTTCTGCCTTTTTGGCTCAGGGCACATGTGGGCAAAGTGTTCGAATCGCTGGCAATTAAAGCACGTCTTCTGGGCCGCGAAATAATCTCCTGCTGCCTGAACCCTACCACATGCCCCACATTGCGGTTGTCCCTCCAGAACCTATCGAATAGGCTGAACTCTCAGTGGTCGTTTGTCATTATCCTGGCGCTTAGACCTCTTTCGGTCCTAGTGATGGTCATTCCTCCTCGTGCTCGAGACGGATGGTGGCTGAGCAGTGATAGCTGGTTTGTAGTCCTGGCATGATGGTATAAGGGAGCAGGGGCAACTGCGAAAGGAAGGTTCCCATTACTCACCACCAACACACGAATATCATGTCGAAGCCCATCTCTGAACTTACGAGCCTTCATATCCTCCGTATCGACCATGTGTCGAGCGAAGACACTCATTCGGGTGAAAGCCCAAGCATACTCATCAACAGTGGTAGCTCCCTGCTGGAGATCCCAGAACTCTCGCTCCATACGGTCACGATAACTCTGGGGAAAATACTTGTCCTGACAACTCCTTCATTCTCGCCCAAGTGAAGGCAGTACGCTCAGTCTCCGGTCTCAAAACCCAGTTATCGGTACACCAGTCGGAGGCATCGCCCTCCATCTGGAACTCTGCACACTCTATGCATTGGGTCTCTGTGCATCGGAGAATGGTGAAGATCCGATCAAGCTTAAGGAACCACTCCGTCAGAGCTGTCGGCCCCTCCATACCAGTGAAAGTCGGAGGCATCATGTTCCAAAACTGCATGATCATCCGGGTATGGTCATCAGCCTGTGCAGATGGAGCCTGTCGGGCCTGTGGATCTCTACGAGAAGGCATATCTATAACAAGATAAGCCGAAAATTTAGCACAAGCTTCAAGCACTAAAGTTAAAAATATTAAAGGGAGGAGGATATATTCCTAAGCCCCAAATAAACAGTTAAACAATTTAACAAAACTCATAACATGAGCTGGGGTAGCTGGACGAAGCGAGGGGTCATAAACGTAAATACTTAAACAAATTTAGAAGTAGTCTACAGAAACGTAGACCTGCTATAATACCACACTGTAACGCCCCATTATTTTTAAAGAGAAAAATACCGAATATTTTTAAAAAATCAGAGTTAATTTATTTCGCAAATCAATTTAAAAAATTTATTTAACGGGCATTATTCAAATTATCCCATTTTACAACAGTTTAAGCCAACACTCATACAGCGGGAAAACAACCATCCCGAATAAACATCGCATGCCAACAATAAACATGCCTAAATAATTATTCAAACATAAAATTTCCAAGTTCAAAATCCCAAAGCATGCATAATAATCCCAAAATACATGGTTCAGTCTCTAATAACAATAATCAACATGCCCGGCAACGAGAATAATAATAAATAAACAAGCGAAAGCAGTAACAATTCAAAAACAACAAATGATATGACCCTGCCTCGCTCGTCTTTCGCCGCAGCTACCAGTTCAACCTAAAAAGGGGAAAAATAGTGGGAGTAAGTGACCAACATGTTCATTGTGGGAATACCATGCAGTATATTCAATATAATGACTTAAAATCATAACTCAGCATGTAAGCAAATCGACTAGTCTACCTCCTAAACAACCCTACGCTCATGTCATCTAACTGTTGGAACACCATCAACGGGAGCTAAACCATCGGAACTCCATCAACGGGAGAAAAGTCTCTAAAGGCTAGAGTAGGAGACGTCAGAAATCCATCAACGGAGATAACCCCCTCATAGACTAACGGTTCACATGCATACAATGATTATCAAGCCAAGCAATTATATCAAATAACATACACAGTAAGGTTTATCCACACCCACCTGATTAGTCGGAGTAGACGAATACACAAGTTCAGGCGAAGGTAGACAAAGGCTCGACTCCTCAAACACCTACCTTTAAGCGAAATAATATATATTAATAATCTATCTCACTACTTGGAAATAATCAAAAACCCATACTTAATCAAAATTAAGGATTAAGGGTTCTTATCAATTTTTCGTGGACTTGGAACTCTCAAATTTATAACAAAAAATGACTCGGAAAGTGAAAACGGGGTCACGGGACTTAATATAATTTTCCCGGATTTTTCTCATTTTTATATAATTTCTTAAAAATGAGTTTGGTGCGAAAACTTAAGCTCCCAACACTTGGGTAACTACACAAGTTGCCGCAGACTGGCTAAAATTTGAAGTGAAATTGGGTCTGACGCCCAAAATTGGGCCGCAAAAAGGGGTCCGGCCCAGCGCACAAAGGGTTGCAGGTACGCAGGCCAAGAACGGGTCGAGCAGCGGGCTCGCGGGCTGAATCTGCTGGGTGAGGAAACGGGCTGGATGCGGGCCTCGCGGGCTGAATCTGCTGGGTGAGGATGCGGGCTAGATGCGGGCCTCGCGGGCCAAGACGGCCCGCACGCCATTTTCCTCCTTCTACACACGCGCCATTTTCCTTATTCTGCACACTGGGCCGCTCGTTTTGGGCTTTTCTCTAGGGTGGAAGGCTCTCTCATGAATTGGGCTGATTCCCATTGGGCCGGCTGGCTGGTTGCTGGAAGAAGGCCCACGCATGGGTGTTTGAGGCTGGGAACAGATGACAGAAAAACGCAACGCCGCCGATTGATCTTCGAGCACGAACAGAGTTTTTGAAAATTTTTCCAGAAAAATTTCAGAAAATAAAAATATTTTTTTATAGTTTCGAACACCTATAAAAACTCGGTTCTAGGGCTCGAAAATGAAACGAGTATTATATACGGCTCCAAAATAAACAAACGGAAAAACGACCACGGCTCGGGAAAAATAACTGAAAGTTTCATGCACCAAGTTGCCTCCACCAAACCTTCAATGGCACACACATGAAGAAATTCAAGCACACCAATGGAGAAGTGATTCCCACCAACCTTCTTCATTCATACACGTTGTCAATGGTGGTGTGCTCAATCTTGCCGATAAATGGGCTTCTTATTTCATTCATTGAAATCATCCAAGAGTGTGATCAATCAACCTTGAAAGTGTTGAAACACAACCAAGTAGAGTTGTGGAGAGTTTGAGAGTTTTATAGAGTTTGTAAATCTCTTGTTTTTATTCTTGTGAGTAATAGAAACATATTTTTCTCTCAATTATGATTATGATCTTGGGATGATACCACAACAAGTGGTATCATAGCTTGGTTTGAAGCTTTCGAGCTTAAATTTCAAGCTTTTGTAGAAATTTCGAGTCTCTGATTTGTGCTCGAAGTTCAATTCCGAGGACACCGTTAGATTCGTCTCGTCGAGACGGTCATGGCGGTATCTTACGGGCAAAAAACGGACACCGGAGC